GCACCATAGAGCGCTCCGCTAAATTTAGCGGGACGTGCAGAAGCTCCCGCCAAAGTTGTTCGCTAAAGTGCGGTAAAAAGCGAGCGACTTTAGCGAACGGAGGTTCGTGAAACGCGTCCTCCGCTATTTAGCGGACAACTCGGGAGTTAGCGGAGGAGATAGCGGAGAATATAGCGAACGGAGCTTTGTGAAACGCGCCCCTGGAAAAGAGAATCACTAACTGTACGTGTCACTGTCAGTCTGAGCCAAAGAAAAATACTTACAAGCCAGAATACTTGTATGTGATAAAGTATGGCGTGTACGCCAACGCCAGGCAATTTCCGAAGTGAAAAAACGTCATTTTTCTAACGTGTTACTATTGAAATAAGCAAATAAATAGTCAAGATCACAAGAAAAACATGGGCACTACACACTCAATTTCTCTTCTAGATGGCCGCTGCCATATTGAATACGGAAACGCCCGAAATGCGCCCGATGAGACTGTACAGTCAATTCGTCCTTCCTCGCTGCATTTATTTAAAAATCGCTATGACATTTATGTAACCATGTAAATTTTAAAAGCGTAAATAAATTTCAAAATCTAAAAAATCTAATCTAAATCTAATCCCAATGATTTATGCATGCGCACTCGAAACACTGCAAAGTTGCAAACTCGTTCCAAGATTGACCGCTCTTTCGCTGGCGGCGCCACCGTCCAATGGCACCAGGAAATTTCTGTGCTAGTATGTACCTGAGGTATGTACCAAATTGGTATGTACACAGCTGAGTGCAGGAACACAAGGGTACATTGCTAGGAGTAAGACACTACGGCTACAATATAGGTGGTTTAGAGTATACACCTTCAATCCCTCTTCCTGTATCTCATCTTTTAAGTCTTATCTTCTGAGTCTCTGAGTCTCTCTCCCTCTTGCCTCTTGGCTCTTCATTCTCTCGTTATCACACTCTCTTTCCCCTGTTCGTTCTATCTACTGCATATCCCGATGTGACATATAATATAATATTATATTATAATAATATGGTAGTATTACTATAGTATTAGTAATAGTATTGTTACACGGTTACACCTCTGAAACTATGATGGGTTGTACATAATAATACATACTACTCTAAAGTATGTTCCTCTTCCAAAGTGCATAGTATTAGGCCTACACTATATATACTAAAATATATAATTACTCTATTCACCTGTAGGCCCCCTTACTCAGCTTTAGCATAAAAACGTTACCTGGGCTATGTTATGTTATGTTATGTTGGCTGGGCTGGTTGGGTTATGTTTGCGTACCTCCACATTTGCGAAAATGACGGTGGGTGTGCCAAACTATCCTTTTATTGACATATTAGCATGGTATCTATTTAGTTTTCTAGACCCGAATGAAGTGTGAGTGCTGCGCAGGTCGACATATTTATATATTTCACGATGGCCGGTAGAGGATGGAGTGCAGAGATCTTCGTTGCCGAATATCGCGATTTGCAGGTACGATTTTGTGTAATTCTGTACATCACGGTGAAATCGGGTTTTAAAAGTTAAAATGTTGTAGTTGAATATATTCCGATGACTTTGTTATTTGTTACAGGCGACTGCCATGGGTGTGGATCGCACAGGCCAATATGCAATCCTAGCTGGGTAAGCCGGAAGGTGTTTTCAGTTTTGTTTACTTTAGAAGAGACCAACTTATCTGGCTTTCTACCTTATCCTATGCTTGTTGGTATAAAATTCCCCAATGTGATTAGAATCAATCAATTAAATTTCAGTGTACTATATAGGCAGCTGTCCGTTATATAGTAGTAATTTCATTGTATACCTGACCATCTAGAGAGAATCAAAGTGTCCTGTGTGGAGAGAGGGGACCAATCATAGTTTAGCACATTTGCAAAAATGAGTGCCAGTGTCCCAATCTAGGATTGTGCAGTAGAGGGGTTTCCATTTCATAGGGGTTTTCGCTAACACAGATTTGTCTGCGTTTTGTTAATTTCGTCACGAATGCTAATCCACCGTCGTTTGTTTAGTCGAAAGCAGCTTGCCATCGTTGACCTTGACGACCCTATAGAGAAAGTGAGGCGCATCGCGCGCCATAGCAAGTACGAGGTGGGAGTTGTGCAGTGGAATCCACATGAGTCACACAGGGACCTTTTTGTCGTCGCAGTGAGTTATCCTTTGTTTTTCCTACCTATACTATGGCCTGTCGTGGGCACGATTGACAGGCAGCTCTAGCCGATATGTTATCTTCTTCGGGTAGATACGTCGATTATGATTGGTTGTTCCCAAACTAAAGCGTGAAGTATAAAGCGGTTTATGTTTCGTGAGTTGGCGATATTTACTCTAAAAATTGCCGAAAATTTAACGGAAAGATGCGGTTCGTTTTCATCGCCATGGTCATGATGTAAACGTCGTGTGTTTCAGAGTAACCAGAGCGCAGAAATCAGCTGCTGGCTCGCTGACAAGGTCGAGTCAAAGGGCATGCTTAAAGGTCACACCAGGGTCATCAGGTAATTGCAGGGAAACCCAGGCAACAGGTCCATCCATAGGTCGTAGCCGGACGCAAAGTCGAATAAGTGCATCACGTGACGGGACGTGACGCTCGCTGTCAATCAGGCATGCGGCTGTGTATGGCAGCAAATACTCTGACGACAAGCTGTCGATCACGTTTGAGAACGTCTGATGCAAGTGCTACTCCCACTGCCACTGCAGTGTGGGCGGAGAGCATAATAGAATGTATGCACACACACGTGCGAGTATAGCGGAGTGGAGAGAGTAAAGATCGTTTGCTACAGCAACGTGGCAGACGTCGTCGTATGAACTAAACGATATCGTGGCGTTATTGAGGTTTTGTGTAGTAATTTTTTGATTTTGCATTTGTTTTCACGTACTGGATTAGGGCAGAGGGCTGTAAGATTTGTTAACGGGTTGTAAGTTTCTGTAACACATAGATAGATGTTCCTGTACCGCATAGATGCTTCTTGATAGCACAATAATAAGGATATTATGTGAGCACTTCAATAATTTCTCGTTTTATTTTCCAGTGATCTGGACTGGTCTTACTTTGATGCAGACTGGGTTGCTACGTGTTCAGTCGACACATATATATATTTATGGGATATCAGGTACATTGATTGCCTATATGCATATTACATCATCATAATTCTATTTGGTATTGAGTATTATATACTAGTACTGCTACTTGGCCATATGTAACAACTATGTGTGCAACTACACTTGTAAAAACTATTGCGATTCTTTTTTCTAGGGACACAAGAAAACCGGCCGTGTCCTTATCTGCAGTGGGTAAGCATACGACTAATTGATACGTTATTAGAATTATTACCAAATATGCTAATACATTTCTCGCTCGTTATAACTTGCCTGGGGTGTAACTTCACTGCCAGATGTAAAGCCTGGCCTTTCAAGAAGAACAAGGCTCTAGTATTTTAAACCTGTCTTTGTCCGTCCATGCTTTAAGTGCGTCTTGCTGAGAGTGGAACGTTCTCTTGTTTTCTTGCCAGCGGGAGCATCGCAGGTGAAGTGGAACAAGAAATCGTGCAATCTCATCGCTACGGCACATGAGAGCGATGTCAGGATCTGGGATCAACGGGTATCTATCTATCTATTCATCATCATCGTCATCGTAATCATTGTCTTTGTCCTCATCATCATCATCGTCATCGTGAATTTTCCATAAATTTTGTATGCCTGAAGATAGATGTGTAATCATATAGCAATACAATTACAATCGATGATCGTCAACGTTTATACGATCGATGTATCGTCCCACCCCTACCGCGGCGCCATGAGGAAGCAAGATGGCCGTCTTGACGCCTTTTGTTTTTTTCTCGTCGCGCAGAAAGGCACGACGCCGGTGCAGTACATCGCGGCGCACCTCTCCAAGGTGCACGGCCTAGACTGGAGCCCGACTCAGGAGTGGTCGCTCGCAACGTCCAGCCAGGACTGCCATGTCAAGCTGTGGGACGTCTGCAACCCACGCAAGCCCGAGAGCACCATCTCATCCGGCGCCCCCGTGTGGCGCGCTCGCTATACGGTACGCGCGTGTGCGTGTGGGTGCGTGTGTATGTGTGTGGGTGTGCGTGTGTCTGTGGGCGTGTGCGTGTGCGTGTGCGTGTGCGTGTGTGTGTGTGCATGTGTGTGTATATGTTTTTATCGTGTGCGTGCGTGCGAGCGTGTGTGCGTGCATGCGTGCGTGTGTGCGTGCATGCGAGCGTGCGTGCGTGCGTGAGTGCGAGTGTGACAGTCTGCGCTTGCTTTGACAGCCGTTTGGCGAGGGGCTGGTGACGGTGGTCGTACCGCAGCTACGACGCGGTGACAACAGCCTACTGCTGTGGAACATCAACGACGTCAGCGTTCCCGTCCACACGTTCGTCGGACACCAGGACGTCATCCTAGAGTTCCAGTGGAGGAAGCTGGGGGATGGTGAGTGATGATCAGGGAGAGGTGCAATAGTGAGGGAGGACAGAAGGGGAAGGAGTGAGGGAGGACAGAAGGGGAAGGAGTGAGGGAGGACAGAAGGGGAAGGAGTGAGGGAGGACAGAAGGGGAAGGAGTGAGGGAGGACAGAAGGGGAAGGAAGGAGTGAGGGAGGACAGAAGGGGAAGGAGTGAGGGAGGACAGAAGGGGAAGGAGTGAGGGAGGACAGAAGGGAAAGGAAGGAGTGAGGGAGGACAGAAGGGGAAGG